AGTTTTACTGTCTGTCCAAACAGCACTTCAACACTGTGCTCTGTGCGTGTTTGTGTTTCAGTTGCTGGTTCTAGGGGCTGGAGCAGTCCTTAACCCTGGTGCCATGAAGTTGCTGCTGTAAGGATACAACATGACCTTGTACAGCCAACTCGCTGTCCGTGTGGGTGTGTGCAGCTGGAAGGGCACATTTCACCCCAGCAGAGGGCCACAGTCCTATGTGACAGTTCCCTGCCTTGCACAAATTTGTGCCCATTTAGTCTGCTTCTCGAGGCAGGCCAGAGAGCCTCCGAGCACTGCAGCTTTTTGAGATTTTAAACGTGTAATCTGCTCATTTGAAATCGTGGCCCTAGTCTTGCCTGCTGTTGTGTTTGTGTAGTGAGCATTGAGCTGCATGGCCTCCAGCTCTGCGTGCCCATGCGCTGAGCCCCTCCTGCACTCTGTCCTGGTAGCCAGTGCTGGAGGGAGTGGGCTGCTGCCTCCCACTTGTTTATCCATTCAGGTTTGCCTGTGACATCCAAAGTCTCTGGGTGAAGCTGCTGGGCTCCTTGCAGTGCTGGAAGCAATACTGCAGGGCTCTTACAAGCAGGACATGGGGTTTAGGGAGCAGCAGTTGCAAGGAGACGAATCCAAATGCTGCTGCAAGCTCTGGGCTGAGCAGTGCTGCCAGGGATGCTCCAGGGAAGGCGCGAGCTGCTGCTCATCAGCTTTTGCCTTGCTGATCTGTCACTGCCCTGAGGGCTGGATGGGAACTTGTAGGAAACAAATGGTTTTTGCTCCGTGCTTCTGTTGAGGCTAGAGCCTGTGTGAGAGTATTTGGGGGATTCCTGATCTGCCACTCAGTCCTCCAGCAGGGATGTGCACAGCTCTGGGAGCATGGCTGGCTGCTGTAGATTTTGAGCTGTACAGAGTGAGTACAGTCACTTGGTACAAGCCAGTTTTTACTCCCCTGGTTTATGAGTGATAAAGCACTTCATTTATATCACCCGTGTTCTTTCCTCCCCGCCTTTCCCACCTCCACTGGTTTGCCCTTCCCTCACTCTGGATGTTACTTTGCTTTCTCCAGCCAGGCCATGCTGTGTCAGAACCTCACTACTGTTCTAAACACGAGTTAAGCAGCAGCATTCTGTACTTTGGGATAACAATGGTGTTTCAGATGGTGGCTTGTCTCGTGAAGACCCTGCATATTCCTTGCTGTCTGCACAACCTGGGGTGCTTGGTAAGAAGACAGACATGATTTTACACGTAGCTTGGAATAACAGAACTGTTTCTCATAACCAATAATCCCTGCTTCCTCCTTGCACTTAAATTAAAACGGCCACTTGAATTGTGCACTAGTATTTTATTTATTGGCTTTTTAGTTTTGTTTGTCTCCTCTTGAATTGCTGCCTCCACCCCCAGTTCTGTCTTATAAATATGGCAGAGCTTGGTCTTCGGGCAAAAGACGTGAGCAGAGTTCTCCAGGAACATCTTGTCTCTCTCAGATGTGTGGTGCTGCTGCTTCGGGGCTGTCCTGCATATAACCCTCAGCCATCCCACCCTCTTCACAAGAAGCACCTGGAAGAGAACCGAGCATGAGTTAAGAGGCAGACTGGCAAAATAAAACTTCACTAGCATGCATTGAAGAACATGCAGTCCTATGTGGAATTTAATGCTGCTAAAGCCAGAGGCATCAGCTTCCGTGAGACAGTCCTGCTCGAGAGGGATTGTACTGGGATTATTGGGATCCAGCTCTTGTAACCTGAGGTGGGTGCTGGAGCTGCAAATAGGCTGGCAGTAGTGAGAACAGATCTTGCCTCTTCCCCTTGTGCCCTCCAAGTGCTCACAAGGGCTCCCAGCTGTAAGAGTTGGGTTTCCTGCCTGCCTGCAGGTAAGGAACTGGTCAAAAAGGTGACCCAGTCCCATTCTCTGCTCCTTGACCGTGTGCTGCATGTGCCAAAACTCATGAGCTTTCTGGGCCCTGCCGCTTGTGTTGGTGCCTACGAGGCTGTTGATGGTGGTCATGGTCTGTTGCTAGGAGTGTGTCGAGTTGTACAATCTTAGCCCTGCTCACTGAAGTATCTGCTGGCTGAGCAGTTTCACTTTGAGCTCAACTGCCCACAAAAAGTTTGAGTCACTTCCCACTGCCCCTGGTGGGGCAGAGCTTTTCTCTGAAATGAATGAGCTGAGCAAGTACAAACTGGGAGCTCTGCCTTTCCTACTCCTCCTTTCCCCTGTGTGTTGTGCTGAGCAGAGGCCACGTGATGGGGGGTGAGAAGTTTTGGTGGTGCCCAGCAGCAAGCTCTGCTCTTAGCACCCGTGATCTGCCCATCTCTGACCATCAGTTGGTCGTGCTCTCCCTTCCAGTCCCACCTGCCTCAGGCTGGCTCTTCCCACTCAGTGTCCACTGTACTGGTTTGTTTGTATGGCCCTGTGTGCACAACTCTGTGTCTTACTTGTGCTGGAGTTGTTTCTGTTTTTTTTTGTTTTTGTTTTTTTTTTTGCATCTATGATTAGCCAAATAAATGCAAGATCATTTTACTCACTGTGTGCCACGTCCCTTCTGCTGTTCTAGCACAGACGTGTTTTCCTCATCTTCCATTTTAGCCACGGTTTGAAGGAGAAGAGGCTTTGGGGATTTTCTACGTCACCACCTGAAATCATGTCCTGCCCATCAAGGACAGGAGGAGATCCAATCCCAGCCACCACAACGCGTGTACAAAGTTATCTTTATTGAGTGCCAACCAGGAGCCCTCCCAGGCTGGAGGGCTGCTTCCAGATCCCAAAATGTCCTTTCCCCTTCTGCTGCCTTTGCTCCCAGCAGGCTTCAAGAGTTGTGCTGGGCTGGCAGCACACAGGCAGCTCTGCCCTTGCACCCTCCTCTGCTCACACCTAGGCGCTGCTGCTGGTGGCTGTGATGCTGACAGGCTGGTAGCCCGGCTTGTCATCCTGCTTGCGGTAATACATCCGTGCCACCACCACCAGGATGAAGGTCTGCGGGATTAACAGCTGCATGTTCATCTCTGAAAACAGGAAACAGAGATTATTTGAAGGTATTTTCACCAACCATGTCCGCTCCCTGCTGCGTGCTTGAGATGCTTAGCCAGGAGCCAGCACCCCTCGCCCCCAACTCCCAACTCACGCTGTGACCTGGCCTTGGAGGAGAAGGGTGGCGAGCAGGCAATGTTACCGTTGTTGGCCAGGATGCTGAAGATGGCAGGCTGCAGTGCTGTCAGCACCAGGAGAACCTGAAACCAACAGCACCGCCTGTCACGGGGACCCACAAGCAGCCACTGCTCTCAGCAACTAGGCCTGACTCTTCCCCTTGTCACACTGCCTCTCTGGCTGAGAAGAGCTCTCCTCGTGCTTCAGGTGCTCCGTAAGCTGCTGGCTTACCTGGAAGCAGGTGAACTTGGCCTGCATGTTCTGCTCCTTCAGATGCAGTCGTGCCTGTCGGAAGAGGATACCCAGTGCCCACAGCCCAAAGAGGGTGGAGGCTCCGATGACAGTGTTGATCCAGAGTGCCACGCTCTCCGCCGAGATCTGTGGGAACAGCAGCTGGCAGGGCTGCCCTGTCACACATGCCCCTCCCTGTCCTCCACCGTGGCACTCACATCAGCAGGGTTGTAGTTCCCATCAGTGTACAGGACCAGTCCCAGGAAGACAGAAGCTGTTTTCAGGAGGACGTACTGGAAGGTCCCCAGTATAAGCAGCCGAAGCTTTTTCCTAGCGTGGGGAGAAGTTGATTGCATCTCCCTGCCTGGGACTTGTCTCATCCCAGCAGCCCTGCCCCATCCCTTCCTCACCTGCTCATGGTGATGCGGGGCAGGCAGGGGCAGCAGCAGCAGCAGGGCCCGGTGCTCACCACCATGGGCACGTCCTTCAGGGTGCTGAGCACGGCCTCCTTCCCCCCAAAGCCCTCCACCATAACCATCATCATGACATAGAAACAGGTGGCAAAGTACCTGGGAAGGAGGAAAAAGAGGAAGAGGAGGAAGGTGGCAGAAGCAGCCAGGCCCCACTGTCCCAGCTTAGGCCATACTCACATCGTGGTGGCCATTTCCACCACCATCATGGAGCGTGGGATCCACAGCCCGAAGCAGCTGAACACAGTCACGACCTGGAGGAGACATGTGCTGTGCACAGTGCTGTCCTCCATCCCCACAGGGGTTCAGACCCCCGGTGCTGCCCCCAGGCTCAGCTCACCGTAGGGGCTGAGCTGCTCCAGCAAAGGGTCTTCATCTTGATGGGGCAGCTGGTCTTGCGGTAGATATAGAGGGCTTCTTCCACGTAGATGATGACTGACACCAGTGTCAGGATGGTGGCCAGGCCCGTGATGGAGAGTTGGATCATATCCAGCTCTGCCAGAGAGGGGCAAGAACTTGGTTCTGTTGAGTCCTGTCCTGTTCCCCCCTGTCTGGGGTGTGGGGAATGAGACCCAAGCAGCGGCCTTCTGCCACCTCCATCTGTCTCTCATCGCCCTCCTGCTCCCACAGGGGACAAGAGGGGAGCTCCCCCACGCTGCCCACTCCCCACACTTACGCTGCAGCAGCTGCCAGGAGGTGGGTGGCAGGGAGAAGCACGCAGCCGGCACGCTGAAGTTCCGCATCAGCATCTCCACCAGCGGCCGAGGGAACCTGCAGTGAAGGGGAGTGCTGCTGAGAGCAAGCAGGGACACGGAGACACCCAGCCCCTCGTATCACCTCTTCCTCTATGTAACCCAACTCCCACTGCAAAAAGGGGTACAAAGCAACCCAGCAGCATGGGGATCCCAGGCACCCACCTGGGGTCATCTGCCAGCTCTATGGTGGGGTCCATTCTGTCCAGCTCTGTCCCAGCAGCTGCGGGGCTGCTCGGCACTGCGTTGGTTTACTTGTGCTGTCCCCACGCAGGGTCAGAGTCCCGAGGGCAGGGACCGCAGGGAGGCTTTGGTGTCTCATTCAAGTTTAACCAACTCTGGGCGCTCATTGGTGAGGCCTTGGTTCTGGCCCAGCCCCACGAAGTGCCTTGGCCACACGGTTATCGACCTGGGAGGAGTGTCTGTGACATGTGCCATCGTGCCTGCGTGTCCCCAGAGCTTGGTATGCAGGGCTCTGCCTGCCCACCCTCTGGGCACCCCACAGATGGGCTTGGGTGGTCATCCCATGGTGCCTGGGTGCCCTGGTCCCCATGTGCCCCCCTGTTGGGGCACAGAAGGAGTGGGGCAAGATTTGGTGTCACATTGCCTGCCACCCTGGTGCCGCTCTGACCACTAGGCCATGGGAAGCCTGGCAGATGGCTGAGCGTCTGTCTGTCCTTCCTGGCACTCTTGTGGCTTTGCAGGCGCATGGCAGCAGGTGAGAAGTTTGCAAGGACTCAGCTCCCAGCAGTTAACTGAGCACCATGATGCCAGAGTGCAGGGCTGGTACCACTCAGCACTGCTGCTCAGCATCAGCCCCAGACACAAAGTTGTGGCCTGGGGAGGGGGCACTCTGAGCTGGGAATTGGGATTCAGTGTGTCCCTGCCCTGAATGGACTCCTGGGAAGTGGGCATGCTCACGCTCCTGGTGCCCTCCCAGCACCCCAAGGAAAATGAGCTCTGGTATGCAGTGGGCTCCTGCAAAGTTCAGAGTGGCACTCGCACCCTAAAAGACTCCCCAGCACTCGGAACAGGAAGCTGCAGTTGCCATGGGGTGTAGCAGGGATGCAGTAGTTACCATAGGAGTGGAACACAGATTGTTGTGCCACAGCTGCCAGGGAAGGGGATCCAGTCCAGCCTGTGAGGCCCTGCAGCTGCTCTGCTCGCCATGGATCTCCTTGATTCCTTTCCTTTCAGCATCCTCCTGGTCCTGCACCTGCTGGTCTCGTACCCGTAAGCCACTCCACTGTAGCACCCATGGGGTGGCAGAGCTGCCCTTTCACATTACCAGCTCACCCTGCTCCGTGACCACAGCTCTGTGCCCTGTTCCATCCCACAGGTACAGCTGGCTGGCCCTGCACAGCTTGCCACTGGGTCCCTTCTTCACCACCATCCTCCTCATCCAGGCTGCCACCAGTCTGCTGGCATTCAGCTTCTCCAGCCTGGAGTTCCTCCGGACAGGTGGGACAAAAGGATACAGGGGGACGGGGCAGCAGGGGATGGCTCCAGGTCTGGAAGGAGTGGGGTCCCTGTTGTGTCACCTGCAGGAAGGACCCAGAGGGATGTGCTGGAGCAGAGCAGCACAGTGAGGCGGCAGCGCTGCCACCATTCCTGCTGGCATCAATTCCTCTGCCTTTGCTGTGATAGCTGCAAGAAGGTAAAGGACAAAGTGCTGCACACCTCCAGTACATTGCAGCCCCACTGATCGTATCCCACACCCCTCTCCCTACACCCTGCACCCTTTATATGCATACCCAAGTGTGCATGCTGTGCAGAGGGGGCAGTGGGACCCTGGGTGCCCCTGGTCCCAGTGGAGTGCCCCACTGCCAGCACCCCTCTGTCACAGCCCTTCTGCCAGCATTGCCAGGCACCGAGGCAGAACATCAGGTCCCAGCATTGCCCACGGCATCGTTCCACCATCTCCTATTACCGCTGCATCCACCTCCTGTTGACGGTCGCTACATCCCAATCCGTGGCAGTGCAGCTGTCCTGCATCCTCCTCCCGCTGCTCTGCCCCCTGCAGCCCATCACCCTGCAGAAGATCGACGTGTATCCTTGGTGCCAGGAGGCAGAGCCCTGCCCTGACATGCACGTGTCGTGTACCCTGCGGTGCTGTGTGGGCTGTGCGTGCTGGAGCCTGTTCCCTTTGCTGCGCGTATCCCTGGTGCACGATGTGCTCGTGGCTGTTTGTCCCTGACTCACTTTACAGAATCACGGTCACCCTCTTCACCATCCTCTACCTGAACCCTGTCGTGCTCTGGGCCCTCTGGGGCACCCGAGTGCAGCGCACACCGAGGCAGCGGATACGGCCACAGGGCACCAGAGCAGTGGATGGCACCATGACGCATCGATGCTCCACACAGCTCAATCCCACTGTGCAGGCACTTGAGCGCAAGGAGGTACCCACACCACCCATATCATCCCTCTCCATCCCCTCTCAGTGACACCACCTGCACTGAGTCCCCAGCTATCCCCATCCCAAGGGTCACACTGTGCCACTCTGCACTCCCAGGCTTACACCTGCCTATGCTGTGCCCTATGGAAGTCGAGGTGAGTGTGGTGCCCGGTGTGATGCCCCAACCTGCCAGGCACTGTGGGGACTGTCCCTGTCCCACCCTGCCTGGCTGCTTCTGACCAACACCATCAGTACTGAGACCATCGCTACCAACTCCTCCGTGAGCTCACCACCATCCAACAACTGCTCGGTGCTGGCAGTGTGGACATCACCCCATCTGGATGCAGCAATGTCCCAGGAACAGGAGAGCCAGCAGGTAGGGCAGTTACATCCCACAGCCAGCACCAGCTGTGCCAGCAGGATGCAGCGTGCCTGCAATGCCATGTTGACATCTGGCCCAGCCATGGAGATGGTTGTGGAGAGTGCAGTGCAGTGGGATGAATTGGATGGGGCAGCTGGGGGCTTCTCCTCTTGTTTTCTGCCCCCATCCCCGCACAGTGGCCCCAGGGTCACTCACCCCTTCTCCCTACAGCCACTCCTGTCCTCACAGGCTGCTGCCTCAGGTAAAGGCCAGGAGGATGAGCAGGAGCTGAAGGCAGGTAAGCATCCATCCCTTGGTGCAGGCAGGATCCCCCTGCCTGCCAAAAAGCCCTTCTGCACAGAAGGAAAAGGGAGCTCCCAGACACAGCCATTCACCCACCGGTCTCCCCAGTACCTGAAAGCTCAGGAAATCTCAGTCCCATGGGTGCAGTGCTCTGAGGGGCCACCAGCAGCGCTGGCAGGGTTCTGTCTGGTGGGTTAGCATTTTTCCTTAAACAAAACCATTTGGCCCTTGAAAACCTGCCCAAACAAGCTCACCAGAGCCCTCCTGCCATGCCAACGTTGCCCACGCAGCTGTTGGGTCAGCGTTCCCAATACTTGGAAAAGCTCTGGAAATGGAAATATTTGCCTGGGGTGGTTTTCCACCCACCTCTGGCTCCCTGGGTTGTGGTTGGAGCAGGCCCTGAGTCCCAGGACCTTCATCTCCATGCTTTTCTCTTCCTCCCAGAGCCCAGTGCCATGCCAGGTAACCAGGACACCAAGGAGTGACAACCATCAACGACACTGAGGCCAGCTGGCACGCATGGGAAGGCAGTTCATTCACCCAGTGTTCATGCTGTGGTCCGTTTGGATAAACAGGCAATAAACACTTCCCTCCATGCACTTTTCTGCCTGGGACTGTGAGCTGCAGAGTCCATGTGGCTGGGGATGGTGACACCTGCACAGCACCACTGCCCCCACCCCATGGCTTTGGGTTCAGGGCAGTGTCCCCACTCAGCCCCGCCACCGTCCCGGCAGCACCCCACGAAGCACTGGAAGCACGAGGATGGACAAAGCTCAAGATAAACAAATAAAGTGCGGCGACTGCAGCACTGAGAAAGGGACAGGAAAAGCTTTCCCAGGGTGCTGGGAGGAAACCACCGGAAGAGGAAGGCTGGAGCAGGACGGGGGCTGGATCCTGCAGCACACAAACGCTGCACCGTCTGCCTTGCAGTGCAACACCCAAACACCTGCAAAGGTGGTGAGTGCGTGCTGCTGTGGGGTTGAAGGATGCAAGAGGTGCTGAGCCCTAAAGAGTCACCGTGCAACGGTCACAGCATCAATGTGCAATAGTCAGGGTGCCCCTATACCCGGCCTCAGTGCAGAGGGGTGGGGGCCACAGGGCCTGAGCCACACCGCTGATACTGCCCTTGGAGTCCTGCCCATGGGTGGCCACAGATAAAGGTGGTCTGCAGCTCCCTGATTGCCCCTGGAAGGCAGCAGGCAGGGCGGGAGGAGACATCCCCAGGAGATAGGCTTGGAGGGAGCAAGAAGTGGGGACCCCTGGCAGAGCTGCAGACCCCCACTACACATCCCTGCTTTGCAGTGGGGAGCACACCCTGCTCACACAAAACCCAAAGCCCTGCAAACCCACAGGGCTCCCGTGCCTCAGTTTCCCCACTTGTAAAATGAGGAGCGATTCCTGTGGCAGGAGGGCAGAGGCAGCTCGTTTGCTTCAATGCCTGGGGACAGCCTGTGCCAAGCACTATTCGTAGGACAGGGCTGGAGTTTCAGATGCATTTCACATGGGCCACGCTCCTCAAGGTCACCACACGAGGCTCTGCTGCAATCTCAATGCTCTGCTCCAATGGAATGAATGAAGTCATGGAATGTGTGAACGCCTCGCCAGCTCAGTGGTGTCTTCCCAAAGCTGCTTCCAGTGTCAGACTGGATGTTCGGCAGCAGGAAAGCTACACATATCCATATAGGTGTGTGTGTACCTGTGAGTTTATATAATACATAGGTTCTTATACAACGTGTACGTGCTGCAGAGAGCCAGTAGGGGTGTGCCCCAAGGCAGTGTGTCCCGTAAGCTGGTTATCATCCCCACTGGGGCCACAATCATGCTTCCCAAAGCAGTGCCCCAGGGGCCAGAACCAGGACCTGGCCGTGCTGGCTTTGCCCAAAGGTGTCCCGCTGCCCCCAGCACACACTCAGAGCTGCTATTTTACTGTCTCCAGCTGGGAGACAAGGAGGATGGTGGGAGGCAGGGCAGCTCATGGTGGCTGGAAGAAGCAGAGCAGGGGCTGGATGGAGCTGTTCTGCAGCTGGACAGAGGCCATCAGAGCAGCTTTGATGGCTCTAGCCACCCCTTCCTTTTGAACCCAGCCCCACAGATGGGGCACCCGATAACCTCTCCGCCTCCACCATCAGCCGAGCAGCTCCGGGCTCCTCTCTGTCTGCTTTTCCTCCCAGAACACCAGCATCCAGCGGGGCTGTGCTCTGCGTGGCATGGGCTTTGTCACCTTCAAAGGGGCTCGGTGTGGGGGTCCAAAGGAAGCATTGCAGCCAACAAACACACCGAGGCTCTGCTTCCTCCTCGCTCCTAGCAGAGCCAGAGGTTTCCTGCGGGCAGCCCCGAAGAAAGGCGCCTTGTTGGAAAACAGAGGGGCTTTTTTTCTCTCGTGGCCACCTAAAATATCACGTGTCACTGCTGATGTTTGCATTTTGAGAAAGACGAGGTAGAAGCGTGGGCTCCGGGGCATTTTTTTTGGTCGAGAGTTTATTTTCTTACCCGTCTGTCTCCTATTAGGAGCTCGCAGGTGGAAAGGCTGAGGCTTATAGAAAGGCACACCTCATCCCCGCAAATATTCTCTCCAAGAGCCAGCACACACACAGAGTGTTTGGGAAAGGGCAGAGCTGCTTCTGCCCATCCCGCCCCATGGAAGGGTCAGCAGTGGGGAGCACACAGCCAGCCCTGACATTGTCACTGCATGTGTACAACGTGGGCACCGTGACTCTGCATGAACATCGGCACACGCTCGTTTGGCATCACTTAATTAATAAAGCAGCTGCTCTGAGCAGCTGGGACGTGCACAGGCAAAGCAGGGCAGTCTCAAGGCAGGGGTGATCACACCCAACAAAATCCACAAGTGCTGGCTGGAGGGGGGAAAGAGGCTGGGAGGTGCCTGCACCCACACAACAGCCCTAAGGCCAGTCCTGAGACTGAGCAGGGCCGAAGGATTGGTCCCTGCTGACCACTTCTCTATGGCTGTGACTCTATGACTAAACCTCAGGAGGTCAAAACAAATACCGGACAGCTCTGGTCACTGAAAACAAGCTGAGCCTTTTTCCATTGCCTTCAGAAGTTTTTTTAGCTGTTGAGACAAAAACACAAACATTTTTTTTTTTTCCATGCCAAGTCAGCTTCCCCATCAAGCAGCATCCTGGCCCCGCTGCAAGCGCATCCCCAGGGAAGCACATAAGACAGGGACGTGGCTGGTGCTGGTGCCAGGGTGCAGGGCTGTTGCAAGGTAGAGCAGCACACACCAGAAGGTCAGCACACCCAGTTTCCCAGCACTGTGCCTCTTCTCCAGCCTGAGGTTTACCGTTGAGGTGCTTTGTGCACCCAGGGAAAGCAGCACCGCTGCAGGACCTCTGCTTGGAGGCACCAGGTTGTTGTGAATGAAGCCACAGGTGTACCTGCAACAAACCTGCACTAAGCGCCATTGCTCGGCCACGCTCTGGCACGCTGCAGCAGGTAGGCTGCCAGCCAGGGCAGGTTTTGCAGCTGTCAGTAACAGGCAGTTACAAGTAGGCAGAGTTCTCCTTCTCCCTGCTAACACCCACCCCAGTTTAAAACCCTTTCTTTTCTTTGCTTCCATTGCTCAGAGAGATTAATCTGCCTTGCAGCAAGGCTTTCCAGCCGGCTCACAGCACAAAGCAATGCCTCTGATTTTGCAGGGCTGCCCGCACCTGCTCCGTTAATTACCCTGACAATGGCTTCAGCAGCAGGAAAGCCACCGGGACCAAAAATCTGCACAAAGCTGCAGGGAAAGCACCAGCCTGGCCCAGCTGTGCATGGGCTGCAGCAGCTCCGGGTGCAGAGCCATCACTCTGCTCCTGGGAACGACTTTCCCCTGCAGAGCGTGACACGGTGCTGCCTTCTCCTTTGTTGTTTTTATTTCCCCAATTTGGGCTCCTCTTCTGCCAAGAAATTCATTTCAAAACCCCCAAACCACACATACAGGTGGTTAAGTTTAATCTAAAAGCTAACACGCTCCCTTATCTGGGAGGGTGGTTCCCACCGAGCAGCTCTGGCTGCTGCTATCGTTATGCAGCACTACTGCTCTGTGCACCACAGAGCAAATCAGGGGGAAACTCCCAGCTTTACAGCCTCTTCCCAGGCCCTTTTACAGTGAGCAGAGAGGGACTTTTGCCCCTTCCTATAAAGGGACACGGGGGGCAGGTGGGAGCTGGTTGCTGCGGGTGACCCATCCCCATGTCCCACACTCCAACACCATATGGAAGCACTACAGATCATAGGTGGCATCCCTGGTTTGGAGGGACTCAAACCACAAAGTCTGCCAAGGAAAACTCCAAAAGCTCCCAGATTCAGAAAACAGCTGATTCAGGGGAAATGCCTGTGAAAAGAAAGCACTTTGGAAAGGTGTCTGAGATGCCTGCCCAGAGAATCAGGAAAGAGAGAGGCAGTGTTTTGCACTTGAGATACAGATGAGCGAGGAACAGAACAAAGAGGGGCCAAGGGAACTCGTGAGGTTCCCACGATGTGGGGCTGAGGACCCTCTGAGCTGTATCCCAGCCCAATGCCCGCCTTCTCCTCGTCGCCTTTTCCCTTTCCACTTCCCACCTCCAGCCCCCAGAGCAGCAGGAGCCAGGCCCAGGGGTGCGATCAAACACGCAGAACTCAAGAGCAGAGCTGCTTTGATGCATCCCCCAGCTTCTGTGCCTATTGTGCTTACATCCTGAGCTTGTTTGTGTGCCGGTCCCCAGCCCCACAGCCCCCTGCTGCTGCCTGGCTCAGGCACTCCCAGGCAGTAGATAAGTGCAGCCAGGCTCACTATCGGGGCCAGGTGCAGCCCCATAGATAGTGGGACTGTAACCACACTGACCCCACAGCACAGAGGGCTTTGGATTGCCAACGGCTCCTGCCCCATCTCTTGCCAGCCCTGCTGCCCACTGAGTGCTGTTCGTTGGTGAAAGCAGTATCAGCCCCGTGCATGCTGGAGATTTGTTCTCATGCTGCCACTGTCCCCTTGGGAAGGGCCAGCATCTTGCCAAAAGCCATAACTGGTGCCTGGGAGCAGTACAGTGAATGGTTTGCTTGGAGCACAGGGACAGCTGTTTGTCTTGGCTGTCCTGAGTCAGGTGGGCAAGGTGTGCTGCCACCAAGTCACCACAGCTTCCCAGATCCCAAAGCAGGGAACATCTCCCAGGCCTTGGTCTTTGCCAGCGGCCCCATCTCCATGTGTGCTCTGAGCACAGACAACAGCCCCCATTCTCCCTGCAGGCAGGGTCACTCCCACTGTGCAAGGAGCACAGAGGGATCCCCGGGGCTGTAGAAAGTTGATGTCCCAGCAAAAAACAATGTTTGCAAGCAAGGAAGCCCAGGTGAAAGATGCAGGTTGCTTTAAACCTGCTGGGACATGGTACAAGCTGGAGCCTCTCCCCTGACCGTCTGTGCTGGCCTCCAGCAAGAAGCGCTGCTGTAGCAAGAACCTCCATCCCTGCTTCCCTCCTGATGCAGCTGCTGGAGGGCTTGGGGTCCTGTGGGAAGACAGAAGTCCCTGAAATAGGGTCTGCATGTTTGTGTGAGTCCCAGAGCACAGCGTCCTTGGCCAGAGCCTCCTCTCATCTCCGCAGCTCCTTGGGCCAGCTGAGGACAAGGAGCTGGGCAGGACCCAGGTGCTTCCCGGGGAAGGACACGGGGACAAGGGTTATCTCAAAGGGAAGACGCAGTGCTACCTGCCGTGCCTCCACACCCTC